AAAAGCAGCAGCAGCAACATTAACTCTACTTACATTTAATGGCAAGTCCAGGAATCAAACCGAGAAACCAGAGGTGAGAGGCAAGTGTGCTACTGGTACGCCATTAAATGATTTCCAGATAGTAGTATTTCCAGATAGTAATACACGACAAACAGCAGTTGAGGTCTATAATAAAGAGTAATCCATATAATGCAATCCACACTATACCACATTTCATCATTCATATCAATATTAAATGCCTCAAGGTAACAACTAAAAGCGAGTCTAGCTAAGCCTTAGTTGCACAATAATTTCTATCAAAACTTTGTGTAGGAGTACTAGTTAGATAGACGAGCGATTACCAGTCAGGTTTTTCCACTATGTTAATTATAATTCAGAATTGATCATTGATCATATGCAGACGCCTTCATCTCATTATCTGAGCAGTTTCAAGCAACAAAAAAAAGATTCCGTGATCTTTCTAGACAAAAACAAACAGGATAGTATGCGCATATAATATGTGGGGTTCTTCAAAGCTTTATATTCGGCCCACTCACCAAATTTTATCGGATAAGATCCATGTTTGCCTCCTTGGCTAGTATCTTCAAAATYATATTTCAATTTCTAAATCGATCTGTGAGTTACCCGTGCCCTGACTTTGATCAGCCCAGAGGTTGTTTATGGCATGAATAAAATGATGCTTGGTTTAGTCATTGCCGGAAACTTCAAATCCAATCAAACAGGTCGAATAAAGAAAACGGCAAATGTTTCAAAAAGCCTATATCTTGTAATATCTATAATCACACAAAAATTATCGTTCCCATCGATGTACTTTGCATAATGAAAAATAATTCCTTCCGCAGATGCTGGTTCCAAACCTTCTTTACCTTCTCTGCCGCCCACTGAAATCAATATCTACTGGAGCAGATGAAGTGTGCGACTCCTAGTAAAATACTTAAAACATAAGAAAGCGCTGGCGAGCTTTGTTCTCACCATATTTATTCAGGATTGTGTTTTTCCTTCTGGGATTCTCTCAACAATTTCATGAAAAGAATATTTTCCTATTTTATCGATCACCGGGCTGATCATTTACAGTCTGGGCATGGCTAACTCAAAGAAAGAATTGGAATTTAGCGTGCTAGAGTAGGCGGAGGGTGGAAAACTGGTGAGAACCCGAAAAAAAGACCTCAAATCAAAGGATTTCTGTCGCAATTAGCTTGTGCTTTTAACTAGGTAAATGTCTTTAACTTTATGTATTATTGTAAATTATGGCAAAAAGATGAGTTGATARACCTAACAAATTATACTCACGTGATACCGGGTCCATGACTCGARTCCGAGACCCCAGAGGTGAGAGACGAACGCATTACTGCTACGCCACGCTTGATGCGCATTTTTAAGTTTTATAGCACAAGAACCGCAAAGATTACACCTTTTGCCGTTCATTAACAGAAAATGTACATTCATTTGTGCCAATAGTTGTATCAATAACGTGTAATGTACTTTCATCAACACCACAAGTAACATCATTAGCGCGAATCAGCATTCGATAACGATATTTGAATATGCGTGTACATTCATAGGCATCAATGGACAATCAATAGC